AATGGAATTGAATCAAAACCCATCATAGGTCAAAAGATTCTTTTACATTTTCCACACAAATAAAAGATATTAAATTGGTGGTGTGAAACTTGCAATATTTTCTCTTTCTAAGTAGTGGGTTTTCCTCAAAATGCTTTATTAGCTTTCTGTGAGGTTAGACTTCTCAGTGCAGAGAAAGCCACTTTACATCTGCTCTAGTGTCAAGATGAAATTTATTTGTCCATCCAATCTGTATGTGCTTTGAGGCAGCTATCTGTAGAGAGGCACCTACTGAGATTTTTCAAAAGCTCTTTAGAAAATAGTAAAGATATTGTGTAGATATGACATTCTTCCCTAAAAAAGATTTCTATGCAGACATTTGTGACTGAAAGAGAAAAATCCTGCAATCCATGATATGCTTGTATTCTTAAGAAAAACTAATAATAATTATAGCAACAACATAAATAGCCGTAGTAAGGACTTGAAAGCAATATAGACTGATGGCTGCACTTTGTCCTCATTTCAAACTCTTCTCTGATGTGTCCACCATGCCTTGACAATATGGCCAGTATCCTGGCTTTTCATATAATTTCCAGTCTCCTGCTGATGTCTGTGCATTGTGCATTCCAACCCTGTGAGTGCCCAGACTAAACACTTCTAAAGTGTTTTTATAGCCCGTACCACATCCCTGTGGAACTGAAGATCTCACAGTCTTTTAATGTGTTTTTTGTGACAGTGCCTTTGGGGTCATTGGGGAAATATTATCCCATTTTTGCAGATGGAACACATTAGGTTCCGTTCAAAATGCAGTGGTGGCAGTTTCTTTCCTTTAAAACATAGCTGCAACAGACACTCCATCAGTTCAACCCATTAATCCTATATTCTCTATTTAATGGATTTTTTTGTCTTTTGATGTAGGCAATGTCTTCATCTGTGTCTTAGGCAGTGCTTGATGAATAATAATACTCATTGTTTCCCAGCCAAAAGCAGTAGTGAACTGAAATTTCTTTGGAGACTGCCTCTCTCCTTGTGAGAGCTTTCTAGACCTATTTTGTACACCCAGGAGTTACACTTCAATCTAGTTAATTTGGATATTGAACTGAACCAGCCTGCACCTCTGAATCTTTGGAGGTTAATCTATCACTAGATAATGCTGCTGGACAGAGGGAGATGGTTGAATAGACGTCAATATGCCAACTGTTCCTTCATTTATTACTGCCAAATTAATAAAGTTGATAGAGTGAAACTAATCCATCTGCTCACAATTTATTCCCCAGCAATAAGATACAATTTCACTATTTCATGAGCTCACTCTTTGACTAATTTTATTAGAATTCCTTCCATAACATCATTTTTAATCACTTTTCATCCAGTTTTAGTTATGTGTAAAATAGTAGAAAAAGATGGACTAAAGAGACATGAAAGGATTTCACAAGAAACTTGGTTCAGCTTAAATAGAACCAGATCAAATAAAATTAAGTCAGCGAGCCTACAAAGGCCAACAGAAAAGCATTCAAAATTACCTCTTTAACGGGAAGCTTTGTTCTGTCATGTCTAAAATGTAAACAGTCAAAAGAAAGAAGGCAGCCTCGGCAGCATCATAAGATGAGACAGGACTGCAGTGCCTCAGGGGAGGTGGCTGGGTGACCTGCAAGGCTGATGGGCAATGCTGGCCAAAGGACTGCAGGGCGGATCTCTCCATCCACTGCAGCTCAGTGGATGGAGAGGTCTCCTCCCTTCTTTGCCAAGACCTAATGGATGAGCTTTATCTCATCCACCAGTTTCCAGACATGTGTGGGCTCTGGATATTAAAAAGATGCAGGATTTTGGCTGCATGTTGGTTGTAGGCAATTCTAAAATCAATTCCTGTGAGCTTAGTTATATTTCTCTTGTTTAGTTTAGAACATTCTGATACGCTGGTCCTTTATTAGTCTGGTAGGGGTACTCTTCAGTGATTTGGGCTAGGTGCAATTTCAGATGTGAGTAACCAAGTAGAAATTACCTGTTTTTTGCAGTGCTGAGCCCACCATTCCCATTGATCACTAGAGGTTTTAATACAAATGGAATTGTATTAAGGAGTTTTACTGAGAGCGCTGAGTGTGCAGCCTAGATACAGGCATCCTGGGTGGGAGTTTCCAAAGCACTCAGTTCATTAGCATAAGTCTCCTTTCACTGAAAATGATAGTTTTAGCAACAGCTTTGAATGGACAGAGTTGGGTTATGCCAGAAAAATTCTGAAAATCATACCATCCTATTTTACAATGCCTTTTTGAGCTGACAGGTAGCAGCAGCTGTAGATGCTAAAAGTGACATTATTTTTATTACATGGTTCTTTGTCACTGCTGGGGCACTGACCATTCAAACAAACACAGATGGACAATTTGTCCTTCTTCGATATGACTTTTCCCAGGAAAGTCATGGGCTTCTTACCTTCTCTTCTTTTAACTGCTTACAGTTTGGTGGAAGTTTATGGGGTTAATCTGTAGGCAATTCCTGCAATTTCAGACTAAGCATTCTTTCGTTAAGGTTGAGGTGGTAAAAAGGTACAACAGCAATTAAAAATCCATTAGTAGTTAATTTCAATATCTTAATCTAAAGCACAATTTCCATTACAATGGTATTACCAATATGACATTCATTTCATGATATTAGCTGCATGAGCATGGATCATCCTTATAATGCTTTGATTATCTCTCTCTCACACTCTGTCTCTCTCACACATAAATATGATTTTAAAACTGGTATTTAAAAAATATTTATGTACACCTGAGTGAAACTATGTATGCATATGTATATAAATATGTGTATGTCTAAGTATATAGTTGAGAGGAAATAGTGACATCACAGAAAGCTGAGCTAAACAAACCAAACAAAATTCTTATTAAATCAGGCGCCTAGATTATAAATAAGTGAAATAAAATTTGCATTAATAACTTCAAATTAATAATTTGAGAAAACTGTGAAGTAGCAGGCTCAAAAATCCATGCGAACTCTTAAAGGCTAAAACATCATGAAGAACAAGTTTATTGTAGTGTGATCTGAAGAGAACCAATTCTCATTTCACACAGCAGATGGACTCCAGAAATGTTCACGCTCTAAGTACCAACTGATGTTGACTGAAAGCTGTCGAAATGTACAGAGAAAGGTTTTATTCCTCTTCTGTTTGTTAGTGTCCAGAAAATCTTCCGTAAAGATAAAAGAAAGTTTACTAGTAAAATGCCAAAACAATCTTACGGATATTGGATTCTAACTGTGCACTAATGTAAGTAATGCAAGGGAATTTTTCTTTTGATTCTAGTCCAGACATTTCAAGGGCCTTTTTATGTCTTCTGAAAATGAAGGTTTGCAGGGAGAAGAGACACAGAGCAAGAGCTATCATTTAAATTTACATGTCTGGCTCTCGTCTTTGCCATGAGTGATCTTTTGTAAACATACTTAAGATCACAAGATGTTTCATCTTTGAGCAATCCAAGAGGGATGTTATGTCACTGCAGCACCTGAAGAAAACTACAAAATCTTCAGGCAGTTAGAAAAGCCCTTAATGTGCTGTACGATGGTGGAACTGTGGTAAATCTGTAGCTGCCGCAGTTTCGTTTCACACATTATATAATTAATATGTCAACTGTGGTAAAGGATTGGTCTCCCACAAAAGCAAAGATGAAACAAATAAGGCTTGTTTCGTGATTCACCTTCTCTCATGACTCTATAGTTTTAGATATGAGTTACATATTAAACGCAAGAAGCATCCTTAAAAATCATGGTTGGCGCACTTTGAAGACACAACGAAGTCGAAGGGGATCGGTGACGTAGTTTGGCCTGCATGTTGATTGTGATCAGTAATAAACCAGCCACATGAAAATGCCATTAATGATATTGTCCAAGGAATGCAATTCGAATCATTTTTTGTTTGTTTAAACACATACCCTGGGCAGAGGTATGAACAAGAAAATCCCTGTTAAGTTATTTTATGGCACTTTGTTGACAGCAATGGCAGCACATTCAGGAATTTCAGGCTTTCTTGTGAATTCCTGTGCAAATTGGCTTACTGCAAGGTAGGAGCTTTCTGGTGATTATGTTAGTTGAAGTAATACTGTCAAATAGCTGTACAGTGTGTCCAGACCCAGAGGCTCCAAGACAACATCACAGTTTAACACTAGAAGACACGATGCCATTTATTTTGTCATAACAGCTTTCCCTAGTTACAGAACATTAAGCAGAGAACAGGACAAAAAGGTCCACGCATATCCACCATTTCTCTGATTTTTGTGCACAAAAATGAGCTTCACCCTTTGAAGTCAGTGAGGAGATTTTTTTTTAAGCTTTTTTTTCCCCACCATGGATTTTAATGAGATCAGAATAATTGTTAGACAACTATTTAATTTTTATTTTTTTCTTGCATAATTAAGACACATTAGTATTTACTAAATTCCAGGATGGATTCATATCTCTCTCTGTATCAGTGGCAAATATGCTACTGTCAAGTTTCATCTTGACAATATCAGGACATCATTGCATTTGCTCATCAGTTCAATTTAGGCATAGCATGTAGCATAATTTCATGGAAACAGTAAATGATATTACATGACAGTTGCCAAGTTGATTTTAATATCATTTTAGAAAATAAACATAGAAATCAACATTTCATCACAGAAATGTATTTCGTATGACTGCAGATATGCATGAAGAATTCTAAGGGCAAATAGGTAGAATTTTACCATAACTAGAGACAATAGACATTTCATGAATGGTATATATGTTTTTCTTAATGAAATTTCTTACACCTTCATCAAATGTAGTTATCTTGTACATTTACTGTGGATTTCAATAATTTATTCCATTTTATGAATGGAAAAAGGATTCTAAATTTCATATTAAAGATATATATTGAAGAGTAAAGAATGAATGAATTGCAGAGCCAAACCCAAATAATTTTTTTCCTCTTTAAATGTCCTTGAAGAGGATTTCAAAGTCATATGGATGGGTGTAGTGCTGTCATTTTCACAGATTTCATTTTAATTCAGGACTGTGGTTCTCGAATTCGCCCAGAGGAGTCGTGTGGCTTGCAGCCTCTGTCTCATGAATACCTCTCAGCAATTTCACAGACAATGTTTAAGACCTGTGAAGCTGGAGACACAAAAGGTTTGTACTTAATATTCTTTCTTCTAAAAATTAACTCATGCACCTAATCAAAGTAAAACTGGAAACAATGTTTCCTCTATTCTATGGACATGCTCAAACCTTTGCACAATAAATTTAACTAATCCTTTGTAACAGTTACAGATTTTTAAAATCAGGGTAATTAATTTATGTAACATTTTTTCTGTTTAATAAGTTTCTTATCAGTGTTCTGCCACTGCTTGTGTTACTGTCATGTAGATTTTAAAATGCATTTAAATATTTCCATCAAAACCATTCTAAACAAAAGTGCTTTATTCTAAATTGAATAGATTATTTACTCAAAATAAAAATTAGCTACAGAAAAAGAATGCAGCATTCTGATCCATTTGAATTTTATATGTCCACTTCTGTATTGGAAAGACAAAAACAATTTACAGTTTCAATTACAATATTCAAAGTAAAGTATGTGGTTTTACATATATTGGAACCTTAAAAAAACAAGATGGACAAATCAAACATTATACAATAGCCAGTGCAATCAAGACATCTCTTTGGTTTAGTGAGAACTCAGATTACCACAGATTCACGTTTAGGTCACAGCTGCATGAAGATTTATGCGAGTCTACTTGAACAAATGTGAGTAATCCACAGGACTACTCAGGTATGCAGTCTTATTCATAGCTTAAATTGTTGCTGGATTAGACAATAAGTAATTTTGTTCAATTCTTTATCAGGCAAATGAAAAATAACCCAACACTCCTACATGGTCTACTAACACAACTGTGTTTTTATCTTACCATAGATAGGAACAGCTTTTCACAGCAGTAAATTTGCAGGAACTCATGGAATAATCAATACAAAGTAAAAAGAATGTGGGAACCACCTGACTGCATTACTTCATGTGAAACAGAGGCATATATCAATTTTGTGTCACATGAAGGGAATGCACAAAGGAGACACTGTTGTACCTAGCATCATGCTTTAATCACACAGCAAGTTGTGAATCATAACGAAGCACAACCTGTCACATGCTACTATATCTGGACATAAAGTTCCTGACTAGAAAGCCCAAACCAAATCCACAGCAGAGTCCTTCTGGGGCAGACAATCTGTTTCTCCTGATATATTATAACATGCTGCTTTTGAATATTGCATCTAGCTAAAACAAGCTATATATAGAACACCTTTTACAGTCTTACTGTGAAAAATATAGACAATTAAAATGGAAACAAATTTCAGTAGATGTAGTCTCAAAGGACAAGTATATTAAACAGGGAAGGATAATTTCTGTTTATAAAGCAAAGATTGCCAAGAGGTGTCTAATGAGCCTAGAACTGGTGTTTGCAGTATCTGGCAACAAGCAGCTATATAGTTTTAACGTACGTCACAACTTCCAACTGGAACTGGAAAGCATGGCTTTTTGTGGAAAACCATTCCAAATTTGTAACAACCAAATGATATCCCAGTCCTGGCAGTGAACATTCTCCCAACACATATGGGAGCAATTGAAAATTCCCAGCTAAAGCAGCTCTTTTACTTAAGTAAGTTAAATTTTCAGAGAAGCCAAGCAAAGTTGTTTCTTCTCAGGAGACAACTCAAGTAAGGCAGCGCCATGCACTGTTCTTAGGCCAGGGAACAGCTTAGCTGCGTAGGGATACTGAGGTACTGTCGCAGCAAAATGTATCTATGCTGGCAAAAGCCTGTGTTTGTGCAGACATGGGCTGAGGCAGAGCAGCAGAGCTAGAGATGAAACCTTAATGGTAACACTTGGAAGTCCGCTTTGCACTTCAGCACAAGCAGGATGTGGTGCCTTGTTTCTCATCCTTTGATGCAGTGCAGAGACAGTAGTTCAGGGTCTAACCAAAGACAGAACTGGCTTCCTCCTGTCCTAGTCACCATGGCAGTATTCTTTGGAGGAAGCTCAGCATCTTATCAAATATGCACTTAATGTACACCATTTCTTTCTCCTTTTTTTGATTCAATGGGGTTTGAACCGGGCTATTGTAGGAAAATGAGCTCTTTGTTCAGTATTGCTGTATGATCCATAACACCGAAGCCAGTAAGCAATTGATAGAGACCATGAGAGCCCCAAGTTGTTCTAAATTCCTGCAGGTGAATCAGGCTGCTGCAGTCTGTGGAAATTTGGTTTGCAGACAATTACAAAATCTGGTGTGTAAGAGATCAGACCTTCTCTTCTAACGTTCTGCCTCACTGCTGTGACACATATGTTTTATTTGTATCCTATTTTCCACACTTTCTACAACTGTATGCAGTTTAACATAATTCTGTACCAGCTATTTCTTTGCATTCAACATCTATCTGGATTTGTGTCCAGCAGAGACATAAACTGATGTTCAACCAAATGACTGTCTCCATTGGTTGCAAGAAGTAAATTTCAGTTTGGACATGTCTATAGGCCTAAGGCCATTTATTCTGTAGCATCAAAATCGTGTCCTTTTAAAAAGAATTTTATCTTTGTTTTTCATAAATGCAGCTAAAAGCAAAAGAAAAAGAATACTGTTACACCCTATTCATGGAGAAGAAGTTTTTTAAAAGTCTTAAGATCCAAACAGACACTAAATACAAAAGTAAACTAGTCATAAATCAATGAACTATAAGTTTACATTAAATAATTAAATTTGGAGTTGTCAGTTTAGAATATATTTTTCTTTTTATACGGATAATTGTTCAGCGCTATAGAAAAACTTTGATTTTGATCTTGAAAGCAAAATATGTGTATTTGTGGCTATGACAGTGGGAAATGTTGAATAAAAATAAAAGCTGCTGAAATAAGAAATAAAACCATCAAATTAGGTGTGCAGCCTTTATTGGTTAAAACTTAAGTTTAGGCTGAGTATTTTTAAATACAAGATAAACGTTTCTATCAAATAATTTTAAAAATATATTTCTTTTCATGCCTTTTTAGGAGAGCAGTTTTTGGGAGTACTGGCAATGTTTAATCTAATATCTTAAGCAGAAGATTTACGTGTGCAACAGATGAACTGCTTTAGTGAGCCAAAAATCCAGTTTAATTTCACTCTTCCTGTGGAAACCTCCTACCTAGAGGCTTTCATAAAACTTTGGTTCTACCAATTTTTAATTTGTGAATAAACTAAGAGCAGCTCTCTCTTTCCTGCTTCTTTCACTGAATTGTAGGTAAACTTTCCCTTGCCTGGTAGAACCGATGGTAACTCTTAGCTGAAGCACCACAAAACACAGGGTGATTGAAATGGTGCTGAAAGCTGCATTGTGTGTTGCTACCTCATATAAATGGGGAAAAAGCAACGTATAATTGCAATGAAAAATAAGCTTAATTTCCAAACTAATATTTATTGTTTGCAGTCTTTCACTATTAATTGTAGTTTTTTATATATGAGATTCATTTTATCTTTTAACACAATCTTATTTTTGAATGTTAAGAATGCACTGACTAACTGTTGTGAAGCTACAATAAGAAAAGTTCATAATAATTGGACTAAAATGCATAAATTTACATGCATCATTTTAAAACTCTATGCAAATATTAAAACTACAATTATTCTGTTTGTATTAAATGTCAGTCCTTCCTATATATCAATTTATCTCCATTTAGCCTTGTTCTCTGATTTTTTACATTTGCCACTAACCTTCAGCACATGCCAAAAGTGAATCTATTTTTTGTTAATACATCTAGGGAGTTATTGAATATAAACCTAACAATTTGAAAGGAGCTTTTCAAAAGGTACTTATCATTTCAGTTGCCAAAGTTTAAACTTTCATTGTTCAGATGTTTCAGTTCCTCAATATTCAGTTTGTATAGTTCTACTTTTCTAGTTTATTAACTAAAACCAGATCAGCTCATAAATGTATAGGATGTTAAGAAGAAAATTCCATAAAATGAGGCATCTCAGATGGTGTAGACATTGCCAGAACTTCTATGTATTTGGTTTGAAAGAAAAATTGCAATGTCAGGAAAAAGACTGCCCAGTTTTCATATAATTTTAAAACATAAACTGCTGCTCAAACTAACTTTCAGACCATTTACGAAGAACTCAACAGTAGGGGTAGTCTCTGAGCCCAGAGCTCAAACCAACCAACAGGTCTGTCCCTGCTGTGTTAATTAAAAGGCACAAAGCAATAAAAGGCATTTGCATGGCACCTATTGCTGTGTTACCTGAGACCTTGCACTTCTCAGTCTCCTCATACGACTGCTATGAAGCTGGGAATGACCCTTTAGCCATAGATTGCAAAATGGGTGCAAGAGGGAGCTAAGAGCAAGATCCACAAGTGGTGACAGAAATCTTGGAGGGTCAAAGCATGCCTGGCCCCCGTGGTGGCCAGGAGGCCACAATCTGGAGCAAGGGACCTCAAAGCCGAGAGAGAGACAGTGTGAGGAAGGGCTACACAGTGGCCAGCACTGGAATCTGCATGGAAGAGGAATTGTCTGAATTCAGCCCTCAGTTTCCCAGCTGAGCAAAATATTCAACTGAAAGAGCGCTCCCTGCTCCAGAACCTCGTTATCCACTTTGTACCTTTAGGTTAAGATTCATTTTAACCCCTAGATAAAAAGTCTACACTGGATCTTGCCCAGGTAAAAATGGGTCTTGCTTCACCCCAAAAAATTACAGGTTACAGCCATGTTATTTTTCTTCCTAACGAATTTCAAACTTTAATGTGGTCCTCATCTGATAAGAAGGGTGGGGAACATTGTCCTTACGGACAAACAGCTATGTGATTAGAACACAGACAATGCAAGACTGAAACTCCTATGAGCAAGGAGCACTGGGCATCCCCGTCTGCCTGCTTGCACCCTACCACTGTGGACCTGAGTGCCCCTCCTTCCCCTCAGGCCATGCTGAACTGGGCTGCTTGCCATCAGGGGGTACCTGCACCCATGGGAGCCAGGGGAGCTGGGTTATGCTCACTGAGCCACAGCATGGAAAAGTCCATGCCCAGGCTGTTTTTGGGGTTCAGCATGCTATTATTTGCTCCACATCATCTGCAGGTGTAGGTGAGGGTGGGGTGAGCATGTTCTGCACGGGGCAGAAGTAGCTGCTGCTGTACAGGCTACACAGCAGCTGGAGCTGCGTGGTCATAGCACTGTGGGATATATTCCACCCCAATGTACCAGTGCAGGCTCCCATACAAACAACTCTTGCTGCTGTTATTTATTTAGAAGGACTTCTTTATCTTCTAAGATAACTCACCCTGCAACTCATCAAAACATACTCGCTTGGGACTTCAGTGCAGTACAAGCACAGGCTGCCTCCCTGGAAATTCCCTTGCTCCTGAGCTAGCAGCTGACTCTCCCAAGGTCGCTGGGATCCTAAAGTGTTGCTTCATTCAGCCTCCCACTTAGTCCCTGGCCTGACAAATGTCTATAGCCTTGGCTTTTTGCTCTGGCTTCTTGCACAGCAGCAATCTATCATGCACAGCAAAGCACACCCAGCCGGCTGCTGAGCTGCTGTCTGGTAGCAGCGATGGTCACAAACTCTAAGGCCAGGTCTGCTCTGCAAACAATTGCTTTTTAAACCCGGCTGTGCTAGCAAGGCCATGAGATAGACACAAGGACCTGGGTTTTGCTGGGAGAGCTACGTAAAGCTGGGAGATTTTGTCAGAATGGTGCATTGTATGGGCTTGTTTCTTGCATTGATCTGAATATAAAGGCAACTCAGAAGTTTTCTTTCTCCAGAAGTTAAGTCTCTCAGACTTACAGTAGGATTTTGGAAATGAATAGCTTTAGAAGACCAAAATAACAAAGCCATTCAACCTTCGGGAAGAGACACCTAAAACCCACTGACTTTTGATCATCCCACTTTATGCTCCTAATCTGCAAAATCATATTTGAAAATAGGGATCAGGCTCTGATAAATCACATAAGTTATTGATCTCACTTTCACCTTCTAAGATATATATATATGTGTACATGTATATATATACTGGGACAGTCCATCTGAACTCTCACAAATTAAAGAAATTAGTGTTTTGGGGGGAAAGTCATCATCTCTCTTGCTTTGTTTTGATATAAAGGGGCTCTCAAAGTCTAGCTTCATCCAGCCACCCAACTTCTAGATGTTAAGTTGTAGATGAGAATGAATCTTGTCTTTAGACACTTCTGAATGTGAATATTTTCCTTTTGTATTCAGCATCCTCAACCCCTTTTCCTTACTCATAGCTCTTCTGTGGAGAAAAGACAAAATGCTGTGAGAAAGGCAACATGAACTGAGAAATAACCCACAAATAACTGTCAGATTTGAGCATTTGCAGCTCTTTCAGAGAAAGTAAAACTCCCACTTTAGCTAAATGAAAATGGAATAACACAGAGGAAGGAAATAGTCTCTTGAAAGGGTTGGGGGGCATTTAATTTAGGGGAAACTCCCATATCTTGCTTGCTGTACAATAAAGCTACTCATAAAATACAGAGGAGATGCTGACATCCTGTTGCTGTTTTCCAGGGCAGTGGATTGTCCCTTGCCTCAGCTGCTCTGACAACAGGACCTGTGACTGGAGAGAAATAACGTGGCAGCCCCATGGCTGCCGATACTCTGTGCTAGCCAAGCCTGAGCTCCAGCGCTGTGTGGAGGGCAGAAGGGTAGGTAACAGTTTTTACATTCTCACTCATTTTTATTTACTTGGATATTTAGTGTCCCGAAGCTGTAAAAACAATTTTATGATTGATCTGCAAGAAAAATCCCTTCTTGTTACTGGAAAAAGTTTCAGATGGAAAACCCACAGGGATGAAAATCAAGTTATCTATAATTTAGCCTCATATGCAGGCACAGTTGTCTGCTGCCATTTCTCATGGAAGTTTAGGTGTCATCAGTGGAGTTTCAAAACGTACAGTGTACACGGTTACCGGTTAGATCTGCAGTGAGTATATAAGGATGTTTTGTGGAGGATAGATTTGCACTGTTGTCATATTTTGTCTTACACCAGACTTGCAAGTTGTGTTTCTTCTGCTGCATACCTAATGCATGGCACCGCTTGTGCACACTAATCTTACCAAGTCTTCTTGCACATTCTTTTCTTGTAGTGAAGCTTCTAAGGTGATTGCTTGGAAATACCAGGTCTCCTTAATAAGCATGCTATGACTGTAAAAGTGTTGAAAGAGAGCTCTGATCTGAGGCTCAGGTACCTTACTGAGGATACAAGTATCCAGAAAGTAAGTAATTAATTGTTATAAAGATTTTTATAGTGTATTGTCTAGGTAAGAAAATAGTAACTAAAAGTGGCATTTTGATAAAGGCCAAGAGCATTTCTGTATAGACAAATGCAAAAATAAGTCTTTCAATTAACACTTCCTCCTTTTCTGGTCATTTCTTGTCCTGAACAAAGTCCTTCACTACCATTTGGCTTTATTTCTGCATGTGGTTTTCTCTATTACTATAGAGCTGTGGGCTTCTCCTAACATACTTTTCGAAAAAAAAAGTAGGTTTATATGACAGGGAGAAGCTTTATTTGCTCCTTGTGTACAAAACAAGCACTTCTGGACTGACCGCAGCAAAATAAAATGGAAGAATTTGGTAGCTTTGCTTTGGTCTTTAATCTCCCTAGACATCAGGCTGCTTCAATCAGCAAACAATTGAAGAATAGCAGAGGAACAATATGCCACTATGGAATTGGATTGCCAAGGTATTGTTGGGAGGATTATGCTGACATTCCCACCTCCTGACTCAAACCACTCACATTCACCAGTGTCAAAAACAGGACAGCATTTGTCAAGGGTCCATTAAAACCAAGTTTATGAAATGAATGTTTGTGAGCTTGATTCCACCATGTTCTGACTCTCTGAGGTCACTGATCTATTCTAGAGTCAGACGAGAGCCAGATCCTATGTGATTTACATTACCACCATGAGAGAAAAACCTCTTTAAAACTAATTGCACTCGTTTCCCATTCTGCATCTTTAGCAAAAGTCCTCCATCGCTACCTGATAACCTTCACTGCTCTCTAGAAATCTGCTGATTCACTCCTGTTACCTTCGTGTAGATGTCCATTTAGCTAGTTTATTCTTTTAAAGTCACCACTCAGATGCATGTTCCCCTTTTGGTATTTCTCCTGTATCTTTCCCTCTGACGTTGTATCACTTTCCAGTAGTTGTAACTTTCCGTGCCATTTGAAACATTTCCGCTTCTTTCACCAAATAAATGTAGAGCCTGGACCAACCCCCTTGTGTCAGTAGAACTTAAGAACTAAGAGAGACTTTCTTCATGCTTAAGTCAGATGAGTAAAAGTTATCCTCTGTTTGGATGATAAGGTCCTGATTCTGCCTGTGATTAAGACAAACTTCAGAATTAATTTACAGAGTCTAAATAATGTACTAGAAAAAGTATTTATTTTCAGGTGCTCACTGAAAGAGGCTTTTGCCAGTTGTTAGTTATATTGTGTGCTATTATATATGTTTAAACAACCTGGGTCTTTTATAAGGGTCCTATTGAGTGGCCAGCAAGATACAATGCTTGTGAACAAATATATTTTTATTACACAAGAGATTTTAGTAAACATCTATAAATAATTATATTTCCTAATTTGTGATATTTGTTTCAAACCATTATACACCTTGTCTTTAAACATTAAAAGGATCACTGACTTCTCAAACTAACAACGTCATAGTTTCCATAATAAAATAAGCAGGTTTCAATACTGGAATGTAAATAGATTGGGGGGGGGGGGGGGAAGAAGGATGAGTGCAAAACACAAGGGCAAAAATTGTCAGCCCAGGTGAGGACACTGAGATGATCCAGAATGCTGTATGGTTTATATTTATGTATTTGCTGAATTTAGCTAAGAACAACAGTACTTACTCATGTGTCCACTTGTCAAAATGGGCTCAACTAACCTGTGTGCCTCTATATTCTAGAGATTTTTAGTATGCCATCACATTCTGAATATTCAGCTTGAGGAACTTTGGTCTCTGACGTTCAAAATCCTTTACAAAGGAGTCATGTATCATGATCTACATCTGAATTCTTGCTCAAAGTTTATTCTGAACTAAGGCAATAAAACCTCCATACATCCCACATAATTACCAATCCTTCCTCAGGGAAGCCAAGACAGGTATGTCTGTAGTGTCCTTGGGACAAATGACGTCATACCTTCCGTCAAAACACAGCAGCCCTCTATGACTGAGTTTCACTTCTGAATACCTTCTTAAATACCTTCAGTCATGCAGGGTTACACCAGGAATCACAGGTAAAGCAAGTAGCAACTTTTGTGATTCACTAAGCTAAAGTCTCTGATTTTTGTCCTGGAAAAAATATGATTTGGTTTCAGGATTGTGATCTGCTGACTTTACTTGTTACAATTAAAAACATCATGATAAGATATTAACAACATAAGTGACTGTTATTATGTTTTTTCTTTTAAATAGGAGGTGTTAATCTCTATGTCACTGTCAAATTACAACCAGGGTGACTGCAGGCTGTTTTCTTATGCTCCCTTGTTAATTTTATATTAAAAAATTACAGCAACCAAACAAACAAAAAAGCCTTCTTGTATTTCTATGTTTAATGCATGTGAAGGGAAGCATACAATGAGTTAACCACTGCTGTGCTGTGTCCCTGATCTGGGTGCACTTCAGCAACTGATGAAATAGGACGTAAAGTGAACGTTCTTTTTGGATGAAATGCAGCACATTTAAAATCAACTGTATCTTTTAGTGTAATCATTCTGGTTTTCTCACGCTTCATAGAATGATAGTAAAATACAGCATTCAGCTGTGTCTCTTGCTCATTAATTTCTTTTATGTATTTGTCAATGTTTCTGAAATATGTTTATGGACACCCAAACAGAGCACTTCTTTCCTATCTGCATCATAAATAAGTCTTCAAAAATGCTTTCTAATTTGTTTTCTAACTCCAGACTACTTTCATGTCTTATATTAAAATTGATTTGTTTTTCAGAGCTCATCTCTAAAATTATAATCTACTTTCTCTATAACAGAAATTCATTTTTCCCAGGATATGACTTCCAATTGATTTGACATCATCATTAACTGCTGTTTTAGTTTGTGTGCATATAAAACTCTGTTTGAGCTAAGTTGTTTCTGTTTCATAAAAACATAAGACCACCTGTGGGGAAACAATAACACTGATTGGTAGAGACATGGGAAAGGATACACTACCACAAAAACAGTTCATGAGGCCTTCTCTTGCTTTATGATGTGTTAGCAAGGCTAGTCAGCCATATGTCTGCATTTCAGACACAATAAACAGGAATATTTTGAAGTGTTGAGACTAAGGTGATTCTGGCTGAGCAGATTTTCATTCACTCTACTTTTAATATCTGCAGTCTTCGTTCTCCCCCACTTTAAACTCTGACTGAGGCTAACGATGCAGACCGTGTTGTTATTAGGGAACTCCACATGAATGTCCTAACTGAATCAAAGTAATAGGGAATCATAATAAAAATGTTATATCTGTATTATATTGGCTCAACAAAGTCCTCTGTAGCTGCAGTTAATGATTTTTTTTTGCTGTAAAATTTATACAATTCCACAAAGACATGATGCTTTGATTTTAGTACAAGAACTTTAAATATGCATGAAGGAAAAGGGGTCCTAACAGGTAATTATTTATCCAATTAGCAGCATATAGAAATCTGGCCTCAATAGCTGGGGGGATATGTATTTTGTTTATCATTGAGAAATACTACTCAGAATTTGGTCTTACACTAAAGTACCATTGAGTCATGTGTAATTAAGAACAGGAAATATGAAAAGGCAATATTTGCTAAAGTACTTAAAATTCAGCTGTTAAAACAGGAGTTTTAACTTATAATTTCTTAATATTTTAGAGTTAAGTAGTGTTTTGGACTTACAGGTGTTTAAATTTCCTAAGTGTGGTTAATTTATAATTACAGGTCTGGTTAGAAGTGAATTCCACTATGCTTACACAATCTTTTAAAGCCTTTAAGCTATAATGGAATTTTTCACACAAAACATTTGCAACGGAAGACACAGAAAACATCTGTCTCTGTGAAAGTGTTGTTCTTTGTCTGGTAAAATTATAACCTTATGTATGTCTGATCCTTTAGTCATCCTGCAGACAAATGCCCCGTTGACCTGAACAGTACATGACTAAGCCTTGTGCCAGACTATAAAGAAAATGAGATATGACATATTCTACACACCTGAGCCATCATTATGCTCGTTATTGTCATAAAGCTAAATACAGAATCATCCCTAGAGCTCTTGGTTCAAATCATATTAAATACCACATAGTGCACACAACTACAGTAACTTCATGCAACTGTATGGAAATAAATGTGGCCATAGCTACCACACATTCAATTACATTGAATGATTATTCTAATTCATCAAAGCTCTTGGGTTAGTTGACAGACATAAGTTTTCTTCCTGGAAGAAAAACACCACTTATTTTAGCCCTTGAGTCTTGCAAGCATTTGCTGAAAATGAAGCTGACTTGCAAACACAGACTTTGAAAAATGCTTTCTGATGGCCTGCATAACACAACAAAATGTGCTTGGCCAGCTCTGCACAAGGGCAGTTGGAGGGCAGGTAGGATTACCTACAAATGTCTTCATCTTCCACCTTGACCTTTGTAGGGAGAAGAAAAAGAAGAGTTTGTTTATTTTTCTAGGATTTACACATCTCACAGCATGGTTGAGCCAATAGTTAGAAGCAGATTGTTGGATGCAGAGAAGGTCTTAATGGATGCTCTGTGTGTGCAGATTTGCTGGTGATGTGCTATACATCCACCAGCCTGGGATGCATTGGATTACAAGGAATGCACACCTATCTTCCTATCTGCGATCTTCTCTGGACTTATGGGAGAGCATTCCCTTCAATATCCCAGCACATACAGTCTCCAGAGTGTGATTGCTGACACCCTCCTGTGACAACTGCCAGCAGACTTCAAAGCTGTCTATCAGGACTAGAGGACAGGGACTGTAGGTTTTACATACTGCGGTCCCAGTTTTAATGACATGTCTTTCAACAGTGCTGTGGTTTCACTGTGAATGATGTAGCTGGAATTTAAATTAAACAGATTTTCTTCATTCCAGTCAACAGTAAAGCACTACAGTGCTAAAATATTTAATAGTGTAAATAGAGTGTGTGTGTGGTTGGGGGTGGGGGGGTGGGATGGGGAAAGGGGTTGTTTTACTCTAATTTTGCCATAACAAAAACAAAACAGGGAAATAATTGATGAGTCAAACAGTCTTTGATGTTCTTCAATATTTGTGGCTTTGGAAATCTCTAGAATGACACTTGAGACATTAAATTGCTAGAGAATGCAAAGTGTTGGGAAAACAAGACACTTGTTTTGGCTTTGGCCATAATTCTTCTCTCCTTTTTTTTTTCCCATGAAGGGTGTTATTCTGCTGTTTGAAATCAGTGGTAGGTGAGATTAGAGCCAATAGTTAGAAGGAGAAAATGTCTATCAGAATCACAGTAGAATGAAGAGTGAGATAAAAATGCCACATCTGCCAAATCAGTGTAATTAATAGCTGAACATGCTCATTTGCAATTAGAAATCCCCATGTGCCATGATAACAAAATGGTATCATATGTTATTAGAATAGAAACAATCTAGCATGTTCTACCAACTGTTCTATGCATGTAACCCAGTAGAGCCTGTTTGTTATTCTGCTAATGATGTGTTGTGTTTTTACAGAAATGTTCTCACCCACATGCAAGTTAATGATATCCTTGCCTGCTAATATCTGAGAACTGCTTTCTAGATAGATATACATCTTGATACCACAGTGATGGATTTGTGAAATGGAGATTACAGAGACATGGATATAGACAGACTGGAGAGATTGCAAGATTTTGCAAGTTAAAAGAATTATTGTTTAATACCCCAAATTAACATACTTTAGATTTAGGACATATTGTAAGCATGGAGTGTCTTCCTAACTTGAAATAATTGTGTGCATGTGAAAGAGAGAAAACCCAACCACTCCTTCCAAGGATCCAAGGATCTTTGATTTCTATGAGTCGTGTTATGCTTGGTTTAAACAGGTTTCTCCTCACACAATGTGAAAAGAATTGGAAATCTTGCATGTGAGAGATGTGCTTGTGCAGTACAAGCAAGACCAGCAGCTGTTTTAAGAATTTACTCTATGAAGCAGCTTTGAGAGGTCCAGGACAGGATGTGAAAGAGCCTCTATGCACTCAGTGCTTGTTTTGTTTGCTATACTACGTAACTATCAAGGGCTTCTCTGCAGCCCACAATGACAAGGCATGGGAAGTTCAAGTCATTGTCATGCCCATTCTTGGCCATGCCACCAAATCAGTGTATGTTCATCTGACAGTGCGTCTGATGGCATCCATAATTGTTACGCTCTTGTAGGTTATTTTTAACCACAGTAGGTTCATAGTGAGAGCTGGAATCATTCCCTAAAACTGTGACATTCCTAAAGGGAATAGATAAGTAGAGATGTATCAGATAAGAAGAGTCCAAGATGCTTTCACCGCATAAAATCTCTAAGAGAATCTGTGGAAATGTATTCTTAAACCTGTCATCTTGTGCAGTCTGAATTTTACTTGCATAATCAAATCTTCCAGGTGGAAGTGGTAAAGCATCAAACCCCAAATCAAATTAAAAAAAACCCAAACAACAAAACCCCAACTTACAGGGTGCCAACTATCCTGAGTGCCAGAGGAGGTAGGAGAAGCCGCATACGGCTGTGCAGAGAACAGGGCTGTTACTGTGTTATGGCTCTATGAGGTTTCTGACTCCCAGTTTTACATTTATGCTTCTCTATATGGATTTGTGGTTGAGGTGGCTGTGGTAATAACTGATTACATGCATGGTTTCATTGGCAAACCACAGTGAACCTGAGTTCTCTTCCCCTTTGGACTCTTGTCATTGCTTACATGTTCTCTTCAGC